AGTGAGCGGGAACCGGTCTGTATGTGGGATCCGAACCCTCGGCGGGAGCGCCGCTACGCTCCCAAGCGGCTCACTGTAGCAGTGCGCCACCGGGCCGGCCCCAAGGGGGTTAGGATTTTCTCCACAGCCTTTGCTACATCTTTACCAATACTTCTCACGGTCTTTTTTGTTATAGCTGTCCCAGTGGGTGTGAAGTGGTATCTCTCTGTGGTTTTGATTTGTATTTCCCTGACGGCAGTGATGTTGAGTATCATTTCATGTGCTTATTGGCAACTTAAACATGTTCTTGGGAGAAGTGTCTATTCGGATCCTTTGCTCATTTTTTAACTTGATTATATGTCTTTATTATTGATTTATAAGAGTTCTTTATATATTCTAGATGCCTTATTTTTTTTATTTTTTTATTTTTTGTCCTTTTTGAGACCGGCCGCACGGCACTCAGCCAGTGAGCGTACTGGCCATCCCTATATAGGGTCCGAACCTGCAGCAGGAGTGCTGCTGCGCTCCCAGCGCCGCACTCTCCCGAGTGCGCCACGGGCTCGGCCTAGATGCCTTATTATCTGCCATATGATTTGCAAATACTTACACCTGTTCTTTGGGTTGGACAGTCCATACTGGCTTTAAAACAGTGAACATATATTTGTGAAAGCACATTTTAAACTCTAGAAAAGAATAAACTTGCATCTCCACGTTTATTAATACAGCTTTATGTAAAATACATTGCTTCATGAAACATTTTTTTGGCTTAGGATGTATACCAAGATGGTCTTCATTGACATTTTAAAAGTGCCTTTGCTTTTGTACTGTTGTTTGAAAAATAGTATATGAGGTAACCTATAAGGTTTCATACCGGTGATCTAGAAATAAATCTTTTTGTTAATGGATTTTAAATCATGGTTTTATTTTCCTCTTGCATTTTCTTTATTCTTTTTTTCTTTTTTTTTGCGGCTGGTGGATATGGGGATCTGAACCCTTCACCTCGGTGTTACTGTTACATTTTCTTATTTGCTACTTTTAGAAGGTAAAATTGGAATTTGGCTTATCTTGGAAATTTTTTACACTTTATATTAGCAATCTCATTACAAGGATTTCAGCCCCATCTTGTGTTCCCCTAAGGCATTTGTACTGTAGCCTCCTTTTCTAATTTGCTTGCTCCCTCATGTTACTACCTCTGGAATTTCTTAAATTCTAAACTTTTAAACTTTAAATCTTAGCCTTTTATTGTCTCTGAAGTAGAGTACTACCTCTGTCTTCATAACGTTGACTAGCTTTGTTGTTCTAACCTGGCTGACATTGAGTTGTTCTGGCAATTTAAGGTGCCTAAAAGAGCTGCTGAGCATAAGATTTCTGACTACTAGCTATTGGAAGAGCCTTGATCTTGCTGGAATTGGTCTAGGATGGTAGAGGAAGAATGAGACTGAAATGGGCCTTGAGAGTTTGAGATGATTATCTGTGGGGTCATTTTTCCTGGGGCCATCACATTACTGTAATAGTCTGTTTGAATTCTTCAAAGGATTTGTTAAAACTGCCAGTTAGTCATTCATGCCAGGTTTATGCTTGTTGTGTATATAATATAGGTATTGTGCTTTATATATATATCTGTGGTGATGTACTGAGCCGGTTTTATTAGCATTAATTTAAGGTGCCCACATTACTCATGAGAAACAGAGAAAATGTGAATTATTAAGCCCATCCCAGGCAAATGCTTTGCCAGTAAAGGCATACAGTGCTACCCTGTGATTTAAATTATGGGGAGACTTTAGGTTATTTTAAAAATAAAAAAGTTCTTTCTGATGTGTTAAAATAGAAACACTTTAAAAATTGTAATTGGAATTAAGTTTAAAATATTTTGGAATATTTGCCATGAGTATAATGCTCAACTTGAAATAAGTTTTCTAAATTAATGCTGAAATATTAAAAATCGCCTAGGCAAGCAAAATTCTATTTGGCTTAAAAATTTTTAACTACATTAGGAATAAGTACTATTCACTTTAATTTATACCCTTTTTTAACTGTTCATAAGTCTTGATTGTAGTTGTTCTTACCCTTTCTAGGTTATAGACTCCTGCCCCTTTAAGAATCTGACCGCTATGAATCCTGTACTCACAGTCATATTCACAAAGTTTAGCACACAATTTTGGTAGGTTCCGAAATCATCTGCATATGAACCTGTGACACCAGATTGACCCCTAATGTTCGGATTTCCCCATCAAAACTGGTGAAAATATTAGTGCCTTTTTAGTCAAGTACCTTTGAAAGAATCCAGCATGTGCTTAGTTAGTTGTAGCTACTTTATTCCACACTTTAAATAATACAATCCCCCATCCAGATTCAAAAATAATAGTACAGTCTGACCATGCAAGTAAGTATTTACTTTCAGATATATTGTTAATCCAGGTTACATCAAGTATAGCATACTTTTTTTTTTTCAATTTCAAACCTTTGGAGAAGATTAAAATACATACACAGAGTGTATATTGTACTCTTTCCTAATCACACTGTATTAGGAGTAGGATATATGTTTGAAATGTTATTAAAATAAAGTTTACATTGAAATAAGGAGGTTTTGGGCCGGCCTGGTGGCGCACTGGAGAGTGTGCCACTTGGGAGCATGGCGGCGCTCCCGCCAAGGGTTTGGATCCCATGTGGA